ACTTTTCTGTTACATGGTAGTTGTGTTTGTGTTTTGTTGATGGGGTACTGGATTTTTTGATTAGTAAGTTCAAAATTGCATTGGAATTCTGTTGCACTCAGCTTAAAGACGGTAACGCAGTTCAATTGTTTCCTGAGAAATAAAATTATGAAATTGCGATGAGCTGAAGAAAGTTGGAAGAATTTATTTACGTTCGTGCATATTGTTTTAAAATTATAGGGTGAGATTTTACATTTCGTTTGGGTCTTTTGACGACCATTGGCTTCTGTTACTTTAGGGATTGGGTTTGATTACAAAGAGATGCCTGTCGGTGGAGCTGCACTTGATTTGACTGGGGTTCCATTGCCAGACGAAACGCTTTTAGCAGCCAAGCAATCTGATGCCGTTCTATTTGGCGCAATTGGAGGGTATTTATATACGTTGTGCTATTTACATTGATTTCTTTCATAATTTTTTAAAAACTGGTATGGTTGGTTGAATCATCTCATGACTCATTCCTTTTATCAAGATACAAATGGGATGATAATCCAAAACATTTGAAGCCAGAGACTGGGTTGCTTCAACTTCGAAAAGGTCTTGAAGTATTCGCTAATTTGCGGCCTGCAACTGTCTTTCCCCAGGTAAACTACTACATTATCCTCCCTCCCCTACACCAATATAAACTATTTACAAATGAAAATACAAGGCCCAAGGTCCCATTTTCGTTTCTTTTGTTTTTTTGGCCTGCGATCATTTTTATTGCAATATAAAAGTGCATGGCATAGGTGTTTCAATAATCTGAAGACGGGAAATTATCTTGGTTTGAAGCCCTATTAGATACCCTCGTTTCATCTAAATGTTAAACTTAGCCTCATGCCAAGAAGGATAGATTCAGACGTATGAATTAATAATGTCATGACTTAATATGTTGATATATTTCTTCAGTGGTCAACTTGCGAGAATTATTTTTCAATGGTTTGCATAAATGGCATTATATTCAGAAGCGTTGGTGTTGAACTTCATTTCTTATTAAAGAGCATCCAAGTTGGCCCACCTCTGGAAAAACTATACCAGTGTTGCTCCTAAATGAAGCATGGGAATATTACTTGTATTTATTTTAATTGAGATGCATAAATTCATGTGCAGTGGTGTGAGTTCATGAGGAAGCACCTCTGGGTATAAGGTTAAAGTCCTATATGGGGTACTCTGTTACCTATTTAATTATTCCATTTCTTACCCCTTCAGTTAGTGGACGCTTCAACTTTGAAGAAGGAGGTTGCTGAAGGTGTTGATCTCATGGTCATAAGGGAGCTCACAGGAGGTAAATTTTTTCCCCTCCCGCTTCAAACGAGATTCCATGTGTTGATTTCCCTCCATATCTAAATTTTGGGTTTTGAATAAAGGTGCCATGATATCTTTCACCTGGATTAGGTATTTATTTTGGGCAACCAAGAGGTTTTAAAACCAGTGAAAATGGGGAAGAAATTGGATTTAATACTGAAGTGTATGCAACTCATGAGGTAACTTTTTCTTTTTAATTCAACATCCCTGGGAGCTTGCATATAAAGTCTTCAACTCCTTTTTATTATACGACGTGCTCTTATCTTTAAATAAATTGTTTTATGGAAAGCAGCTCAATATTAGTTGGATTAAAAATATTTCTGATAAGCATTCCTTTCAGTCATCCTTGCTTACTCGGAACAATTTCATACTAATCTATGAATCCATTCTTCAAAGCGATCGTTGATACATTCATGAAGAAGTTATTCCTTTTTTTTCCCTTTATTTCTCTCTCTCACTCCTTTTTTTTTAAACCATAAAAAGCATAACTGTTTTATATAAATTTTAAATTGGAAGTGCAGTTGTTCCATATTTCATTCAGTTGTTCCATATTTCATTTTTCTTGAAATTAAGATTACATGCTTAATTTGTTTTTATATCTAAAACAATCCTCTTCTTTATTTTATAAACTATCTATTACGTCTATTTGAACAATTACGTTTCAGTTCGTTAATGTCTTCTGCTTCAGATCGACCGCGTTGCTCGAGTGGCATTTGAGAATGCTCGGAAGCGACAAGGAAGAGTTTGCTCTGTAGATAAAGCAAATGTGTTGGAGGTGCTTTTAAGAATTTGATTGTTATTTTTGTTGATTGATTGGTATTGTGGTCACTGGTCATTCTAATTCATAAGAACAACCTTTTCATCCTTTTGGTGCAATCTCTATGATAGTTTGTTTCATCTAATTTTCATTGAGCCACAACCCACGAAATATAGCATGTAGGCACAAAAACCTTTTTGTCTAATACAAAAGTTAAAAGGTAAAACTGCTTTCTCTCCTCTTGGGAAAGTTGAAACGATACAAGAAGATATGCTTATCACTTTCTCAAGAGCTTTGGGGACCTGGAATCAGGAACATCATAAATTTTGCACTTCTTAGCAGATGGCTTCACCATCCATTCATAAATAAAGCATTCCTGACGATGGATGGTGGGAGCTTTCTAAGGAATCTAGTATTGGAGGAAGTTCGGGATAGTATCATGTTTCTTTCTTCTGCTTGGTCTTCTCTGTCATTTTCTAAAAAAAATTTCCCTCTCTGTAATTATTGCAATTTTTCTATCATAGCCAATTTCTGTCTTTCTGTAACCCTTAAGTTAGGGCTTACCCTTTTATGTATATTTCATTTTTTTCCCATTGAAATAGTTCTGTTTCTGATTGGAAAAGGTTATTAGGAAATTTGAGATAATAACCCCAGACCATTCCTTTATTTTGCTGGAAATAGGTTCAGATTTGAATTTTGAGAATGTGTAACTGTCTCATCTGCTTTCCTCCAAGTTTATTTATTTGAAGATTAATGATCTACGTCAAACATTCAGTTCAAGGTTTCCCTACTGTATTGACATATAACCATGCGTTTCAATAGAGCTTAATATGTTATGTACGATCTATGAATGTAAGAACTTACCACAGTTAAAACTTGAAAGTAGTGGGGTCACATGTTCCTTTATGTAGAAACCTTACAATGGAACTAACTTTTTTGCAGGCTTCAATGCTTTGGAGGAAAAGAGTGATAGCAATAGCTGCAGAATATCCTGATATTGAACTCTCGCACATGTACGTTGATAATGCTGCAATGCAGCTAATTCGCAATCCAAAGCAGGTCTGCATTGAAAAATAATCTTATTTTCCAGAAGGGGCAAGAAAGTGAACTTTCATAGCCCCTATATGATAGGAAAGATAAGTTCTATTTGGACTGATTGTGAAAATTTGCAGTTCGACACAATTTTGACAAACAACATATTCGGTGATATTTTGTCGGATGCTGCTTCCATGATTACTGGAAGTATTGGGATGCTTCCATCTGCAAGTCTTCGTGAATCGGTAGTCATATCATTCTCTCGCATTGTTATCCTCTCTAAATTTTCTTCATTTTCCTTCTATAACAAAATGAATTGTTTGCACAGGGACCTGGACTATTTGAACCTATTCATGGCTCAGCTCCTGATATTGCTGGAAAGGTTTGTGTTCTTAAAATATCAGCATATTATAAGTAGGATGTAAAGTTTTATGCCATAAGATAACATGGTTTTATATGTAGGATAAGGCAAATCCATTAGCAACCGTTCTAAGTGCTGCTATGCTTCTAAAGTATGGCCTTGGAGAAGAAAATGCTGCCAAAAGAGTTGAGGTTGCAGTTTTGGATACTCTAGACAGAGGATTTAGGACTGGTGACATATACTCGGCAGGATGTGTAAGTATACAGTGGAGGGAGAAATTTTCTCCCCCTCTCTCTCAATTTTGTCTTTGAATATGGATAAATTTAAACATCTGAATGAGAAAAAGAAAAGAAAAAAAGTAAAAACCTGACCGAAATGTCCGATAGCAAACAAATCGACCTCAACAAATTTACTTTTACAATCATGAAAATAGATCATCTAGCTAGCTTTTGGGTGTGTTTGAGAGTGATTTTGGCACGACGTATCTGCTACTCCATAGGTAAAATGGTTGTAGTTCACTTGAATTTTTTTTGGGTGGATTTCCACGGTGTATCATGTATGTTAATGCCCAGTTGCTCTCTTTTACTTTTGATAACTATTATTTAATTCCTCCTCTTGGTCATTAGTCCAATGATTTTTTCTTAACACTCGACTGCACAGAAACTTGTTGGATGCAAAGAGATGGGTGATGAGCTATTAAAATCTATAGAGTCCTATGAACCTGCTACAGTTTGAGGCGAAAGCGGTAGCGAGATTCTTCATTGGCCTCCTCTGATGTTGATTTGAATTCATGACGTAAGGCACTGTTCCTCAATATTGAGGTCTCTCTTTACAATTTTGTTGTATTTTGAAAGGTAAGAACAAGTTGAATTTAGGGTCTTCATTTTTTCAGAACTATAAATATCTGTCTTCTTGGGTGATAAGTTGTAGACATTTTAACAAGTACAATAACTTATTCATTGAACCAATTTGCTCCTCTCCCTATTTTCTTGTTTCCATTGCCCAAATTTGAAAMAGATTGACAGAAACCAAGAAGGAATAAAGATTGCAAATTAATTCTGCTAGTAAAAGTCATTTTCTCCGGCTGACTTTGAGTTTAATGCATGGATAGAACAACAAACATGTTATTTATTAACCATCTTATTAAAAAAACAGATAAAACTTAAGTGTCAACTTATTGTTGAGATATATTCAGATTCGTCGAAGTATACATCTTTTAACTCTATTTTATATATTTTCTTTAGCCCATACTGTAAAGRCGTCTCTTCAGCTCTTTTTAAATTTATTATCTTTGCCATAGTTCATTGGACATTGCTATATAAGCCGAGTCCTTATTTTGGTGTTTTGTACAATTTTAGATTTCGTGTTTTGATTTCTAACTTTTAATTACAAAATAATTTAGTTTTTGCTTGTTTGGGTGGGTGGTTGAACTTACTATTTTTTGGCTGAACATGCGGAATATGATATCATGTCATTTGGCTGAACATGCGGAATATGATATCATATCATAGGACAAAGTTTTAAAATAATCTAGTTTTAAAAATAAATTATAAAAATAATATTAGTTTAAAAAAAACTACAAAATAAATGTAATTTAAATAAATAAATTCAAAGGTAAGTTAGGTTTTTAAAACTATTGACAAAAATAGGTTAGGTTAAAATAAARGTCAAAACTCGCATACAATGTCTGCGATTTCCGTGCAAACGTGGCAGTTGCGTACATGTACGTGACTTTCATCTTTTTATTTTATTTATATATTGTTATTTTATTAATATTGCGAAACTTAATTAAGATGTGATTAAATTTTTTATTTTTTATTTTTTTTTATTTTAAATTTTAATTAAAATGTCATTTAAAGTCTAAAAGTTTAAACTTATATTAAAATCAATTCGATGATTAAAATGTCATTTAGCTTGTTGTGTTTCATCTTCGTATGTTCTATAAAATAACATTTAAATTTAATATAAACTAAATCAATAAAAAATTATTAAATTAATAAAACCATAAAAGTAATACTTTTACATGAAATTCACATGTTTTGTCATTTGCATCGCGAAATACATGGTTTTAAAACAAAAACCAAATTTTGGGATATGTATAATTAGGATTTTGTTTGTTTTACAATTATTTTGTTTTAAATTATTATTATAGGAATATGTCCATCTTATGTCCATCATGTAGTAGGTAATCAAGAACTACTTTCCAAATATGAAGAAAATTAAGATGATAGTATTTTTCTTAAATTATGGTTTTTTAAAATAAAATTAAAAAAAACAAAGGGATATTGATGGGAAGTTGAGGACTGCAATTTTAAATTCAAAATATAAAAAATAAAATAAAATAAAAAAATAAAAGAGGAAGTGGGGGAGTGGTCATGGCTGCCACTCCCAAATTAAAAAAAAAAACAAAGGGAAGTCGCAGACGTTGACTTCCAAATTCAAAATAAAAAGAATTGTCAGCAAAGACGTGGCTCCATTTGCAGCASGTCAGACAGATGTCGTAGCCAATGACTGCGACTTTAGTGAAATTGTGATCGCGATTTGGACGTAAATCGTAGCCGTTTTGGGCAAATCACAGCCTATCCCTACGATTTATCTACTCTAATTTTGTAATTACTTTGAACGTACAAGATTTGTCATTTGTTTTTAAAAAATAATTATTTAAAAAAAATCCCATATCATATGTATTATTTTCTTTATTGATAATAAAAATTGTGGGATGGAAGATGAAAGTGGACTAAAAATGATATTTTAAAAATTARATGGTAAAAATAAAAATAAAAATGAATTTAAAAGTTAGAAACTATAATCAAAATGCTAAAAGRAATCATATTTAGAATTATTAATCTCGGGCGACCCGACCCGGTTATGTTCCGGGCCAATTCCCGTGCACTAATTTCTCAACCCTTCGGGAAATTTCAAAAAGTAAACAACATTAATAGGGATGAAAAGTCTTTTTTGCCCTTCTAAAATTCCCCCCAAATTGAAACCTCTCCCTCCATGTGAAAACCCTCCAATTTGAAACATCCTCACGAAAAAAAGACATCCCACGCGCGCACAGCCACTCACCGTCCATTCTTCCGGCGACTGAGCGACGGCGGCGGGTTCTAAACTCAGACAACTGAGGCGGCGAACTCCAGCGGGCAAGCAACGGCGACGAGCTCCAACGAACTGTTCAAGTACGTTTTTACTCATAACTTAACCGAACACTATTTTAGTTTTTTCAACTCTTTGTTCTTCGTTTTAATTTTAATTTTGTTATTCTTCTGATCGTTTTCATTTTTGTAACTTGTGTTTTCTTCATCATAGTTTGATTTCTTGATTCGATATTTGATTTTGGCATTGCAAAATATTGCAAAAAAGAAAAAAAAAAGGAAGTAAAATGGTGATTTGCTTTTCACATTTCTGTTTATTTGGAACATGTTATTCAATGGATTAGAATTTGTATTTTCATAGTTATTTTTTTTTTTAGTTTGGTATTACGATAAGTTGCAAAACAAAAAAGTCAGAATGTTAAAAGTCCAGGCTTCTTCTTTTCCTTTTTTTTTGTGTATTTCTTAGACCATTTCATGCATTTGAAATATATTAGTGCTATTCAATGAGCCTGAACTTCTGCTTTCATGGTTTGTTAGTTGATTTTGACATTGCAATATATTGCAAGCAAAGCAATCTCATGATCGAGGATTAATTTTGGCTCTTAATGCTGTTTCGGTTTCATCTGTAAGTTACTACCTCCTTCCTCTTCCGGTTTTAAGTATTCTTGGGTTTTGAGAGAACGTGTAACGAAGGTTCCTGCTGTCTTTGCAAACTGACAAACTTCATGTTTAAATTTTTCGGAAACTAAAGAATCAAGGTTGTGATGGTCCTTTCGCTTTGGTGTTTTCTTCACCACGGTCGGAGTGTTGTCAGTACTTTAGCTTTCACGATTTACCTTCGAATTTCATACGAGCAAACCAGATATTGATGTAATAATTAACTGGTCTATTACGAATGGGTGAGAGAATGTTTTGTACTGTAAACATAAAGAGAAAAAGGAACGTAAAGTCTCTTGCTCATGAAATCAGGGTCAGAAGAGAAGCAACCCACTATTATAACAACGGGAAGTGTATTCAATATTCATAGTTCCACTCTAATTTCCTAACGCTGGATTAGCTCTATTTAGTGCCGTCTGCATCTGTGACATTTACGAGTTATATTTTTTGGGAGTCAATTGACTTGGGCGTAAAGCTTTTGAGCATACACTTTGACACAGTTTCAAGGTCAGGACATGATCCATGCTCGCTTCCACATTCCATAAGCCATTGTGAGATTAGTTTCTTCTTTCACCTGTAATTTGTGATGTTTATTTTTTGGGAAATTTATTTTTATTTGTTTAGGTTTGTGGTGGGCGGGTTCGGTGGACATTTGAAATTTGTTTTAAAGGTGCAGTCCCCTTGTTTTTTCTAACAAATATGCATCACACAGTTTCTGCTTCAACCACGAGAATCTATGAAATTGTCTGGAATGATTGATATGGAAGACTTCTCTGATGTTCATTTTTCCCTTTTAGGAGTTTTGGAGCAGTAACAGCTAGAAGATCCTCAAGTGCCCTACTGAAAATTCCTTCTAATAATTTAATCCGGAAGATCCAAATGGGAACTAATCATAACTCTGTGCTAAGAGGTTGCAGCAGTAATTCTAGAGGAGCCCTGGTGGTTCTAGAAGGTTTGGACCGCTGTGGTAAGACTACACAGTCCAGTAGATTAGTCCAATACTTAGAAGGACTTGGCCATTCTGCTGAACTTTTGCGGTTTCCTGATAGAACTACAAGTGTTGGACAAATGATATCTTCCTATCTTTCAAACGAATCACAGCTGGATGACCACACAATACATCTTCTCTTCAGTGCCAATCGATGGGAGAAGAGGTTTGTTAACTTTTCTTTATACCACTTTCAGTTTAGGCCCTTAGATTKATAAACTTTCAGTACCTGATGAGTGATGGGGCTTCCAATGTTGTTATTAAGTGGCAAGTTTTTCTTAAAATGAAAAATGGTGAGACCTGGTTTTAGAAGTTCCAAGCAATGGCAGTTGAGAACTTGGTGGACCGTGGACTACAACCATTTTCGTGCATGTCGTACGCTGAGGGAAAACCTGTATATTATATCAACATTTATTTTAGATGAAGAATAGTGTATATGCACCCCAARAGTTTGTGATTTCGGTTTAATTACTGTAATGGCTGTCAGATCGTTGATGGAAACAAAATTGAAGAGTGGAACCACTCTTATTGTTGATCGGTATTCTTATTCAGGGGTGGCCTTTTCAGCTGCCAAAGGACTTGGTATCGAATGGTGCAAGGTATAAATACTAATTAGTAATTTGGCTGAATCCTTTGTTTATGCATGTTTATGTTTTTTTTTTCTTTTTTCTTTTTATTATAAATTTGGGGTTTTTAAATGCTCTGATGTTATGTTTGTCCTTTTCAGGCACCGGAGGTTGGCTTGCTAGCTCCGGACTTGGTACTGTACCTAGACATATCTCCAGAGGTTAGTTAAATTAGTATATCATTCTTTTTGGGGAAGAAATTTAAATGCATTTATTGGGATGGGCTTACCATAATTTACCTTTTTCTAACTTGTAAATGTAATGAWGCTATGATGTAAATTTATTGACTATCTTATATTGAAAATAAATGATTTTGTACTAATTTTATGATACAATTTAATTCTGAAATTTTGTCATATTTTTATTTTTAATTCAAGCTAAAATTTTTTTTGCATATCACCCATACTGATTCAAGCCACTAAATCATATCTTTCACGGATCTTTCTAGTCATAGCTGATATATGTTACATTTGTATTGGGTTTTTTATGGAACTCTATCAATTGTATTGGTAGCATAGAGTAAGCAATTGCTCAAGTAGAGCAGGTCTTATAGAGACTTCTTTTGAAGTTTTATTATGTAATTGATGGCAATGGACTTTTGAGAATAACAATTTATAATCAAGGGAATAATGTCCTTTGTGCAAACTATGATATCAATTTATAACCTAGGAGCTGGTTAGATTTAATACCTCTTTTTGAGTTTCAGTGTCTTAGGCTTTTTGTAATTACCACTTAGGTGTCATTCTTTTAGATTGAGGTCCATTCTTAATGGTAGTTCCCTTTTGTCGGGGTTGTTTTTTGTATGCCCCTTGTATATTCTTTCATTTTCTGTTAATGAAAGCTAGGTTTTTGTTTTGACTTTGATCTGCAACCCCTGGTAACTTCATAAATTCTCAATTTTAAAACTTCCAATTTGTATTATGATTGATYAATGATAAAGAGTTCTGAATGATCAGAAAGCTGTAGAAAGAGGAGGTTATGGATGCGAGAGATATGAGCAGCTTGAGTTCCAGAGCAAAGTTGCCCAGTACTACCAAGTTTTGCATGATTCCTCTTGGAAGGTAACTTGTTTTTCATTTGTGTCTTGGAAATATTGACACTCCAAGTAAATCAAAACAATAATATTCAATGAAGTTATGCACGAGGAATCCAATGTTTTTTCACGTTCATCTTAGGTGGAAGCCTGTTTTTCATATTAAAAAAAAAAAGATTGACTGACTGCATTTTGGACTTTCCTTGATCTCATTGCAGATAATTGATGCTTGCCAACCCATGGAAGATATTGAGAAGCAACTTCAAGAGATTGTACTGGGCTGTGTCAAGAGACGCCACAACGGGGAACCGCTTTCCGAGCTTTGGTTAAGTTGATGCTTTCTTTTGAAGCCTGAAGATCTTTTTCCCGG